TAACCATTATTATTATTTGTCCTCAAATGAGTCCCACCGTTCAGTACACGGTAACGGAGAACAACACAGCCACAATCAGCAGCGGTGCTGCAGTGCGCATCCACACAGGACTGACACTGCTGTCAGCATTAGCATTCTTCTGTACATTGGAGGCAATGGTGTTGCTGATCTGTGAGTCGGGTACAGGAACAGGAGATGAAGTGGGTGTTGGTGCTTCGCCAGTACTTTCGGTGCTCGGTGGTGCAGTGGAATTGGTTTCTCCTGAACCTTCTGTGTTTCTTTCAGAGTGTTCTTGTGTGTTACTGTTGTTAGAATCATCATTTTCAGATGATTGTGTGCCTGTAGTTGGTGATGACGTTGTCTGTGTTTCTGTTAAGCCTTGATTGGTAATCTGTGCGTCTGCAGAACCTGAAGAAGACGTACTCCCTGCAGCCTCAGTTCCATTGGGTAAACTTCCAGTTGTCGAGGGCAGATTTTGATTTTCCCCATCTGTAGAATTACTACTTTTCTCTTTAGTGGTGTGGTTATTAGCCGTTGTAGGGTCACGACGATCATCTGATGGTGGGTGTTCTTGTTGTGGTGGTAAATGTTCTCCCACTTCAGTATGCGTGACAAGATTCTGATCACCCTCTGACTTCATCACTGAATCCTTAACAGAAGTTGGCTCGCTGTCAGGTGCAGGACCAGCAACTGGTACTTTTTCCTCAGGAACCACCGTTTTGGGGGAATCAGTTACTTGAGCAGGACCAGCATCACCCATCGCCACTGCATCACCACGAGGGGGTTCCGGATCCTTCGGATTTTTGTGAAGTTTACCTTCTTGCGGTTTCTTACATTGGGTATCAACTGTGGGTTCTTCTGGCCTATTATTAATAATATCTGTATCCGTCACACCGGGGTGATACCCTCCAATAGTAGAAAAAACACCAGTACCAGTAACAACGAGAGTATTAGCCCTCACCACCTTTGAGCAGTCAGCAGCACCCCCAGTATTTGCAATGATTGCTTTCCTCCTTGCTACTGTCCTTGTTGTTGTTGTTATTGCGGTACGCTGGCGGCAGAGGTCTGCGTACTTCCCACATGCAGACACACGGCTGCCCGCACCGCATGTAAGCCACTCGCTCTCAGCAGCGGGGCGTACACGCAGCGCACCGCCG